TTCAATATTTCATGTAAGCATACAGATAACTTATTGTTTACCTCAGAGACTGACTCATCAGTCGTATATATACCGAGAGATTGGTACATCAAAATTGCACATTAATCCTGACTTTTGAGTTTTAAGGGCATAAACCTGTGTAAATGGATTTGAAGTTAAGTCATGGCTTCATGAATGTTGCAACATATACGATGCAGTATTTATAAAGTACAGTTTCTGTTAGATGCAGTACAAATGAAGATATCAGTTTGTAGGTTTCTGTCTTACAGTAGCACGCTGGCTCTTTGTTACTCCACTGGCCGTTCTCCAAACAAACTCGCTCACTGGACCCAACCAAAAACAGGTTGCTGTTGCAGCTGTATTTCACCGTCTCGTCAATTCCAAATATGTTCCCTGCTCTTGAAGCGCCAGCTGGGATACCAGGATCAGCACAACTGTGTCCTGCTGTGGTAACAAAAAACACAGAAGATAAGTCATAAAACATTCAACCCGTGAAGAAACAACCCAATGAGCAGTAGATGTCTGTTCAGGACTTACATTCCCGGCCACAGATGGGAGTGGAGCCGCTCCACTTCCCATTTGATAAGCACACACGTCTGGCTGAGCCTCGCATTGTGTATCCAGAGTAGCACTCATACGTGGTCTCATTGTGCACAAAGTACTTCTCTTGGGGTGGGGAGACTTCTCCATACTCCATCACAGTTGGGTCGGGGCATTCAACAACTGCAAAACAAAACGAAATTATCTGAGTTATCATGTACTGTAGAGTCTGAGCAGGAGTGAGAAACAGCAGCATCACATCACTGACCCCTGCATCTCTGAGGATTGAATGTCCTGGGCGCCTTTACCCATCTGCTATCATACTGGCACAGGCGGGTCATAACGGGGTACGGGTAGTAGTCCTCGGGACAGTGGTAGATCAACATGCTCCCTTTCTGCAACTGCTTGGTCAGTGTGTAATGACCTCCTTCTATTTCCATCTTCTCCTCTGTGCAATCACAACAAACCTGGCCTCCTGAAAAAAAGAGAAAAATACTGATATATATATAATATTGATAACTGTTTATGGCAGTAGTTTCAAATTACATTTCAAATTACCATATTCATTATTGTTATTTTGAACCTTTAGCTGTGGATCAAATACATGGAATTGTTTTTTAACTCAGTTGTGAATAATTGTCTCAATGTTTTTAAAAAACCGCTAAGCTCAGTTGGATTTGAAAGTTATTTCAAATATTTATTTTTCATTTGAAAACACAGTATAACATGTCAAATATGTATCTTTTGAAATAAAAGCAGCTCACCGAAAAAGTGGAGACATAAAAGTGCAGCAAGCCAACTGCAGTGGACTGCAATTCCCATGACGAACCTTGAATCAGAACAATCCAATACAATGAAAGGATTTTACAGGAACTGTTGATTTATTTAAAAAATATCAGGAGAGTTTCAGAAGGAGGGACTTGCTTAGAAAAGATCATGATGGTACTTATTAACTTCATGACAAATAAAAGGAAATCAATAGCGTGTGTCGCAGTAAACTTGTGAATTCCCGAAAATGTGACTTTATCAGGAAAGATTCAAACATTTCAGTTACAATTGAAATAAAATAAGCCTGGTTAATATTGCATTACCTTTGTTTGTTACTTGAGACTTTTCCTGAAAGATTTAAATACAATTCATGCAGTATAGGTTATCTGTTCATGCTGATGATGTAGTCTAAATCCCTCTGTTTTCAACAACCTAAAGGTAAAATATGTGACTTTTGATCCTTGGTCTTTCCACTATGTGTACACACACAATCAGATGTTGCACAAAAAAACAAAATAGTTGTGAAATCAACCGAACTTTCATCATTTCCCAAAATCCGCAGGCACTGTTGAGCTTTATTTATTGACACATTGATTCAGGTATTGATTGAGCAGCCAGTTATACCTGAGTGGTTTAACTCGCCATGACTCCGTCATTTGAATGACTTGATTTTACTTAATCTGTTCATCAGAGTTCGGATTTTCAAACATTGTGAGGAGTCAGTCAGTGAAAAATAAATATATTTCAAACTTAAAGGTCTGCAGTGGATAGCATTTACAAAGTTATTTGTGGTACCATTAATGGTAATTTTTCATCACATTGTGGTATTTTGTCAATGAGTACTAGTCAGAACTAGAATGGGTTAAATGCAGAGGTACAATTTTGCTGAGTGACACAAATAAAGAGGGTTTCATCCTCCAATTCTTCTATTCTTCTTTTATAAAATGTTATGCATCTCAGGTCATAAACCCTGTGACACAATTGCTTCATCTCTAGCGCCACCCTCTGGATAAACTACACTCCTTTTATACTCGTCTGTATTTCTTCCAACTAACATTTGGTGACATGTTATCAGAGGTGGGAGAAGTACTTAGATCTTGTACTTGAGTAAAAATAGAAGTACCAGAGAGTAGGAATACTCTGTTACAAGTAAAAGTCCTGCAGTCAAAATTTGACTCAAGCAAAAGTGCAAAAGTATTGGCATCAAAATATACTTAAAGTACCAAAAGTAAAAGTACTCATTATGCAGATTGGCCCATTTCAGAAAAATATGTAATAATATGTTTTTCTTATACTTATTGATGCATTAAAGTGTTTATCAAAGCTGGTCAATGTCTAGCTAGTTTTAATGACTGTGTATACTGCAGAGTAGATGGGGATTTTACTCCAGGTAAAGTCGGTGTTGATTCTATTTTACATCATTAATCCAAAGCAAGTTTTAAAGTATACAATTAACCTATTAATTGTAGTGTAGAAGTACAAAGTAGCAAAACCTGACAAGTACAATTATTTCAAAATTGTACATAAGTAGGCCTACAGTACTTGTAAATGTAGCCTACTTAGTTACTTGACACCACTGTGCATTATAGGGAGACCAGGGACAGTTGTAACACGGGACAGTTGTAACGCCTTCAATATCTCCAATCACAAACAAGCTAGAGTGATGAAACTCACTCTGCACATGCTCAATTAGATGGAAAGATTGCTGTGAAAAAAAGGAGCCACATTTTTTTTTTAAATTGCGAAAGATATCAGCAAAAGTGTGTTTTTCTGAGGTAAAATATTAAAAACAAAATTATGATATATTTTTTGGATACTGTCTTGAGGTCAAATGTCTAGGAATCCAAACTAGTATTATTAGAATCATTGTTTTGTAAGCTACACATATAACTATCTAAATATGGGTCAAGCCAGCAATCAGGCAGGTTCACAGGGGTGAAAACATGACTGGTGGTCCTGGGACGGTTGTAACACGTGCCACCTGGGAGGGTTGTAACATGGCACATTTACAATGATGGCTCATTTGCTCGAATGATCAATATTGTTGATTGGTGTGCATTGTCCCTGTAAAAATAAACAGATTAAAATACTGTACGTAAAGTGTGTGCGTGTGTTTACAGTATGCTAAATATCAGAAAGAGGAAGACAGACAGGAGAGTGCCACTTCCTCTGCTGCAGAGGGCCTCAAATGAAGTTCAGGAGGACAAATCAGTCAGGGCAGTGGCAAAGTCCCATGATATATGCCATGTCACCCTGTACTGGTTCCATAAAAAGAGGCTGAGGTTGGAGAGTCAGGGATCACCCCAAAGAGTAGGCTACCCAAGAAGGTGTTCTCAACAGAGCAAGAGATGCTTTTGAGAGACTACCTGATGGAGGCAGCTGATTTATACTATGGTCTCAGCTCAAAGGAGGTAGGTCTACATAATTAACCCTTGTGTTATGTTCACATTTCGCACCCTTTAGTAATGTTCGGGTCAAATTGACCCGGGACATATTTCAGGGTTTAAAAAAAATACAGAACTAAATTCAACATGTACAATTCCTTATATATATTGTCTTTAACTCATTCCCCAACAATATAAATGAAATATATAATTCGTTTTTGAAAATACTCTTTGCTAGATCAAATGTAACAATGGAAGTGTCCATCGTTTTTTGTGATAAAAATGTAATTTATGTTAAAAAAAAATACACTGTAATAAAAACTAAGTTTACATTTTGCTCATGCTTTTCTAGGACTAATGTAAATGAAACATTTTCTCATTAATGTTTATTATTTTTAATCTGTCATATAATAATCAAAGCCCTGAAGGAAATAAAGCAATTTAGCAGCAATTGGAACACAAGAACCACAGCCAAAAGTATTTGGCTGTGAAATATAGAGGGAATGAAACATCCATATAAATGACATAGAACAGATATAAACACAAAGCAAATAAAAACAATTAACAGTCACTATTCATAAAATACAGTATATCCGAAAAATATATTGATGAAGTGACGCTGCAGAACATCATGTGAGTCAATGGGCAAGTCCGTTTAGGAAACACATGATGTACAAAACTTCTTCGTGTGTATAGCACAGATGTATTTGTTGCAGTTGCTGCATGTAGTCTGTGTCTTGGAGTCCTTTGAGGGTCCACAGACCTCACAGCTGGCTGTGGGGGTCTTTCAGAAGCTGACTGTGAGTCAAGTTCATCTTCCAATTTTCTGTCAAATTCTGAGTTTACCTCCACATTATCCTCATCTTCAGAAATGTCTTCCTGTCCCACTTCACCGTGTTCTTCTAATGCATTCCACTCACTCTCATCCATTATTAGCTCCAAGGCTCTGAGCAGAACATCTTTTGACCATTTTGTTGGTAGATAATTGTAGTTCTGCACTACACTGTTACTACACTGAGGTTATGTCTCTGTTTAGTCCCTCCTCCGGATTGCAGGTGCGAGGGGGGACAGTGCGAGAAAATCTAAAATGTTTATAATGTTCTAGGATAGTTTTGTGTACACACTACAAAGGGTAAAGATCAAGGGAAACCAGGATCAAACAGCTTCTCTATGCATACAATTGTGTGTGTGTGTGTGTGTGTGTGTGTGTGTGTGTGTGTGTGTGTGTGTGTGTGTGTGTGTGTGTGTGTGTGTGTGTGTGTGTGTGTGTGTGTGTGTGTGTGTGTGTTTCTGTGTGTGTGTGTGTTTCTGTGTGTGTGTGTGTTTCTGTGTGTTTTTCTCTGTCTGTTTGTCCTGGTATTGTATCCGGGTCAGATTGACCCGAACCTCTTATGAAGGACATAAATGCGGGTGGGCATTTGTTCATAAGTGGAAAAAAATAAAAACAATTCCACATGTCCTTCACAATAAATAAGCCCCGGCCATTGAGTTTCAGGTTGAACGAAAATATCCTTATATTTTTGTTTTATTCATTGAAAATGGAAATCGGGTCAATTTGACCCGAACACCACACAAGGTAGAATAGGCTATACAGATGGAAGCGACTTTTACACCTGCCAAAATTGTGAATCAGATTAATTCCATCTGGTGTTCTGTTTTAAGTTATGTTCATTGTTTGTTGGAGGGTGTGTGAAACCCCATTCAAATCTTGTTGCCTTAGAATTTGACAGCTTTCCCTCTTTTTTGTCATGTAGTGTGAAAAAAGGTAACCGTTATTAACATGTTACAACCGTCCCTGGTGTTACAACCGTTCCTGTACACAGGGATGGTTGTAACAGTTGATTTTTACAAAAAAAAAAACATGTTCCAACCTCTACTTATTTCATAGAAACATCTTAAATACATTGTTTCAGTAGTTGACACATTGAACATGTATAATATAGCAAAAATGGCTATCCTAGTGTAAATGTTTTTTTACTTATTGGGGAAAAGGGGAAAAGGGAAAACCCAAAAAGTGTTACAACTGTCCCTGGTCTCCCTATGTATTAGCCTAGTGGTTATGAGTATTTATTACGTTTCACATTATGCTCACTTATAAGTCACAGTTGCATGATGAATGATACCGTGATAACAAGTGTTGATTATAATCTGATGAGGCACAGTAGAAAAATGAAAAAAGAAGAATATTGGCCTTTTTAAAGAGTTTATTGAGTGTGTGTTGTTGTTGCGGAACAGTACAGCAAGAGGCGGTAATGCAGCTGAGTGGCTCAGACGAAGAAGAAGGAGTACCGGATGTGACGTAGTTATCGCAAGTAAAATAACAAGGCGCCAAATTTTGGGTGAATCCACTGTTGTCACTGCCTCAGACACATGGAGAAGTCCGTCTAATCTTTGCAAATACATTTTGGAAACGCTACAGGCTGTGCAGGTAAAAGGTTATATAACTGAGAGTGGCATCATCTTGTTTTTAGTCTTGTTTACTCGTTTCGTTTTGCTTAGTGCAACAGTTTGACGTATTCAATGGCAAATGTTCGGGTTGCAGACAATGCGTAAGAAGTCACAATATCTGTTAGTAAAATGAGAGATATGTGTGGATAATATCATGTAAAATACGTGTATCAGTGTGTTTTCTATGGCAAGTGACTGTTTCTGTTTTTAAGCATGGCTGTGCCGTTTGTGCAAGGCTGGGACCTTGTTCGGACTCTGGGGGAAGGAGCCTATGGAGAGTAAGTCTCCTCTTTTATCTTTATTTTCATTCACAGCATGTCTTACTTTATCCTTTTTCTAGCAGTGCATCTCCAGTCACACACAGACACAACATGTTTCACACGAAAATGACATGGACTTTTTTTCTATGCCACGGGAACCAAAATTGACATGTCCGAAATGACAGATCATCAGACAGACATATTTCTGCAGCTTCTCCCTAATGTGTTGCAGTTGGCAAACCACAAAGCAATCTTTCTATTTCTGAATGCTATTCTTCCAATTCAATTTGAACAAAACCTATTTTAATTATTAACGTCCCTGTCTTGTCTATTAATTAAATATTGTCAGGTTTTTACACATATTCAGACTTTTTACACACTGTTGAATCAGGAAACTTTGGGAAACCTATTACAACAATGACAACGGTTAGCTTGTCAATGCAGAGCCTGCTTGTGCTGGAAATGTCACCTTACATTTGTGATGTACATGTAACTCATCTGCAGGGGACACCGTTTCTGTTTTCATAACACTTACTCTTTCACTACTTCTTTTGACTTACATAATATATGTCAACACTTTTAATACAATATCAGGTTACAATCTAATATGAAGCACATATAGGGTGCCTTTTCTGTGTTTGCCATCACATTTGTTGTGCTCTGATTAGGGGTGTAACGGTTCACAAACATTTCGGTTCGGTACGTACCTCGGTTTTTTGGTCACGGTTCGGTACGTTTTCGGTACAGCAGAATTTTTTTCACAAAACAAATCATATATATATATTTTTTTATTATTATTAAACTGTGAATAATGTATTCACTCAAATAAATACAAAATATAATAAAATAAACATTAAGGTGCAGCATTTCGATGAACTGAAATAATCTGTATTTGAACTTTACTGTACTAGTACTCACAAAACAAACTATTAGTTTTGGGTTTTTAATTATTATTAAACTGTCAATATTCACTCAAATAAATACAAAATATAATAAAATGAACATTAAGTTGCAGCATTTCAATGAACTGAAATAATCTGTATTTGAACTGTACTGTACTAGCACCTAAGCAGCCAGTTTGACATTAGGACTTGCTTGTCATTGTATTTTCATGTTTTTTTAAAGAAAAATGAACTTGTCCACATTGCTGCTGAAATGGCAGATCTGCTGGCACTAACAATGTCTCCTGATGTGGAGAAAACCATCTCGCTAGGGACAGAGGTAGCAGATACAGCCAGGTAGCGCTTTGCTAACATGGCAACATAAGGATATTTGGTGTTTGTAATAGCTTTGGCTCGGTCTGAACTTGTTGCGAGTGGTGGAGGCTTAAATGCTAGTGGGAGTTGGGTTTGCACTTCAGTCTTTTGGTACCGGTGATATTCACGTTCGGGTGATGCCTTTTCAAGAGTGTGCAAGTTTGATGTATTGCCAGCCGCGTAACCAATGTTAGTTGAACAATGCCGACAAACAGCTTTGGTTCGGTCCACCTGTCTTTGTCCGTCATCCTTGTACGTAACTGCGAAACCAAAATGTTCCCAAACCGGAGACTTCAATGATGCTGGAGGATTTTCGAGCTCAACTTTATCTGCATTCGCCATTAATTTTCGACAGTTCCTCAAATTACTGATTACATTTGAACGCATCCCTCTGACCAGCTCTCATAGTATGCCTCTCATCCAATGAAATGACTTGCTCGCTCTATGACGCGTTGAACCCAATGTGAGCAAATTACTCTGAATGCTGCGACGCAGCACCTGAGATTACTTCCAAAAAGTTGTTCACGTTCTCAATTTTTTACGTTTAACGTTATATTCGTTCGGTACACTTCGGTACACACCTGTACCGAACCGAAGGGCCCGTACCGAATAATTTCGGTACGGGTACGTGTACCGTTACACCCCTAGCTCTGATCCATCTTGTCTCTGTGTTGCAGAGTAAGGCTGCTGGTGAACAGACAGACAGAGGAGGCAGTAGCTGTGAAGGTGATCGACACCTCTCAGGCCAAAGAGTGTGCTGAAAATGTCAAGAAGGAGGTCTGCATCCATAAGGTAGGTGATAGACTTTAAGAACAGTTAATGGAATGCCGTTAGGTTTTGAAGGATAATAAAAAGTATTAAAGGTCTCCTAAACAGATTATGCATTGTAGCATCCCACACACCCCTCTGTTTCAAAAGTGCTGATTCTCTGTCTGTTACTTTAGATGAAAATAAGGAGCCACGCCCCTCTGAGAGATATTTGGTTAAAAAGAACACAATAGGCGCGTTCATGCCGCAGGGACTTTCGGGGGAGATAAAGGTTCCTATGGCTGGGTGGATTGCAAACCACGCCCCGTAAAACTCAAAAAAAAAATAGTGAAGCCGCCATTTTATTATCCTCGCATTAGCATCATTAGCATTAGCCCAGCACACAAATGCAGAGAGACTAATTTATGGCAACACAAAAGGTGGAGATGAGGAGGTGTCGGCATTCTGGCGATTTACTCAGAAGGCTTCAGTAGAAGCTGCTGGGAGTCCCAGCAGCTTGGTTGGTGATTGGCTAATGGTTACACAAGCCAAAAAATCTATGACATCATAAAGTGGCCAAAATCTTATCAGCTCATTTTCAGACAGGTTTTTATATAAATGGATCAGGACAAAAAGAGAGAATCTTTTTTCCTGAAACTTTCAGAATCTCTTTACACAGTTGATTTTGATGTAGAAGAGACATGAACAAGTGGATTTTGCATAATAGGTGACCTGTAATATTGGCATTAGTGGCACTTTTTGAGGTTTCTGAAACATAAGGGATTTTCATTTGCAATTTGAGGACATATTAAGAAAGATAAAATGACCTTCTGTTCATTACATAGAATTTCAACCGGAGCTAATTTTGAAGCTCAAATGTGGATTTGTAATAGTTTTTTGTTTCAATTTAGTGCAATTATAAACAATGTATAATTCATATATGTACATGTTATTTGCACACGTTACGCTCTTGAGTGCTGCAGGAATAAAGCCTAAAAGTGCTACATGAGTTAGTAATTCGCACTTTTTTGTCATCCCTGCAGCACCCTTTCACCTTTCACCGTTGTTAACATAAACTAAATGTGTCCCAGTTGATTTCATGTTGCAAGTACTCGAATGACTTCAGCCTACAGGAAGTAGACATGAACCCAAGTGGTTGTCTAGCCAGGCAATTCTGTGGAAACGGAAAAAAGCTACAACCTTATAAACTGTTTAAAAAATAAAGAAAGTAAGTTGCATTTGTTGATGTTTTGGTAGATGCTCGACCATGCCAACATCGTACGTTTTTTTTGGCCATCGGAAGGAAGGCCCGACTATGTATCTCTTCCTGGAGTACTGCACCGGAGGAGAGCTGTTCGACCGCATCGGTGAGACTGAAATGGTTTTAACACGCTGCTACACAGTTAATAGTCAAGTTAAAGTCACCAATATACGACGTTGTGTTTAATCATCTCTCTTTTAAACGTGACAATTGTCATGCCAAGAGTTGAAAGTATTCAGTATTAGACCCAAAATGTAACATTTCAAACCTTTACTGGGTTTAATTTACATGTATAAATCCTCCTGGGACCCAGACCATTGAAAATGTCCACTGTAGTGGACATTTTGTTAACATGCATCTCCTTTTACTCTTTTGAGCTACTCTATCAATCCCTGATGTGCTGTACAGAGGACATCCTGGTCTTTCCAGTGATATGTCATTGGTTACAATTGCATGCTGGGAAGTTCCTCTTTCTTTTCATCCAAAATGGCTGGCATACCAAAAACAAAATGCTATAGAAGTAGTAGGAGAAGTCAAATATTGTTGAATAATTGTAATTTGTACCATGAAAATCATATATGTTCTTGTTTATTAACATGTGAGGAACTGTATAATTAGTTCTGAAAGCAATTAAATAATTCAAGTTATCAAATAACAGCTCTTTTATAAATGTCCATTCTAGTGGAAGTCAGGACTATCTTCATGGACTTTATGACTCAATTTTGTTGCAGGAGACGGAACTGAAGCAGACATTTTCTGCACCAGATAATTCAGGGAGATTCAGATGTTGAGCTCTCAGATGATGAGAGAGATGAGGATTTCACACCTGGGATAGAAGAGGGTCAAGAAGAAGGGGGGGAAAGATGCAGGAGGCTCCATGAGCGCACAGATACAGACAGAGAGACAGATAGGGACGAGCTGGAAAGACATGGCCCTCTGTGGGCCAAGAGTAGCACGTATGTCTTATTGTTGTTTTTATTTTAAGTGGAGCCATGAAAAATGAGAGTTGCCTCAGGAATGCAAGCTTTGTTTCTATGAGCAGGTCAAATGGAGACCACATCCATAAAACTAGTCAAGATGACCCTACAGCCCGTGCCGACTGGAGTCAATGAGGTACTTTCCCACTACATTGACTACAAAGTCTTTGAAGATCTGGAAAGATTCACCAAAAAACAAGCTAGTTTTGTATTGACCAAATAAACAGCAATGTTCGGATCAATTACTTATTCATGTTTTAAATAAAGGTGAATGTATTATTGTATTAATATCACTGTATAACCATAATACGTTACATAGTCCATGTGTTCATTTTGGCTGTCTTTTCAAACTAAAATGGTCCCGACGTCCTCTACAGTGGACATACTGTAACATTTAAAAATTTAATTAAAAAAGTCTAAATTGCAAGATGTTTTTTTAACCCTAAATCTGTAGGAAATCACACAAAAAAGGAAATTGGAAGACACTTGATATTGATTATAAAAATATGACAAATAGTCTCACTTAATAAAATAAGGACATGCATTTTTAGAAGGGAATTGCGATGAAATGGCACTTTTTAATTCATCCAACCCCAGTAATAATCTTATTATTGTTTTTTTATGTATTATTTGTCTTTTTTTTAATTATTTTTTTTATTATTAATTTAATTTGAATTTAAATTCACAGCTGGATGAAAACATATTTACACATCGCTTTTGCCCTCTGTGTTCTGCCCTCCAAATAAATGTGTATTGCATAGCCCAATAGGAATAACTACATGCTGTATTGGCAGTGTATGACTCGATATCTGCCTGATCGTGATTGTGGTCAATCTTTCAGGGTCTTACAATGTTTGCTTCCTTTTGACTTTAGAGCCTGATGTTGGGATGGCGGAGGAAGATGCTCATAGGTTTTTCCAGCAGCTAGTAGGGGCCGTGGTGAGTGAATACAAATCTGTGTGTGGATATGACCTGTTGACTGTGATATGACTGTTTTAAACTCATGATTTTGTGCACATTTTCAGCATTACCTCCACGGTTGTGGGATCACCCACAGAGACATAAAGCCAGAGAACATCTTGCTGGATGACAAAGGTGAGAGTTGTGTTAATTTGTAGAAAACAATTACATTGCTTTGCATTTATAACAAATATTATCTGCTGTTCTCCTGACCCTTTTAGATAACCTGAAGCTGACGGACTTTGGGCTGGCCACCATGTTTCGTTTCAAAGGACGAGAGCGTCTTCTGAGTCGACTCTGTGGGACTCTTCCTTACGTGGCTCCGGAGCTTCTCGGCCAGAAAGAGTACAAAGCTCAGCCTTTAGATGTCTGGGCTTGTGGAATTGTCCTCACTGCTATGCTAGCTGGAGGTAATTGACTAAAATTAATTTGACTGAATAATAATAAATGTACAAAGAAAACAAGAAAGTAAAGGTTTAACTATTAAGTAATGTAAATAAATGAATAGCTCCAACACATGCTTATGCAATAGTTAGGCTGTGTGGTGAAACTTTTTGGTCACCGTCTCGTTTTTCAGAGCTGCCGTGGGACCAGCCCACTGAGAGCTGTCAAGAGTATTCAGAATGGCTTCAAAAGAAAACTTACCTACCTCCTTGGAAGAAAATAAAACCAATGCCTCTTAGTAAGTGCCAAAGTAGAAGTTTAAATGTATAAATAGTTTTAAAAAGCTGTATCTATTTCACATTCAGCATCTCTCTTCAGGTTTGTTGTTCAAGTTACTGCTGGCGGGTCCAGATGCTCGCATCACCATCGCAGACATAAAGAAAGACCGCTGGTTTACTCAAGGCAAGTCTCAATACAATGGAGTCAATTCAACTTTTATTTTAACGTTCGCTGGACTGATGTCTGACTGTGTATCTCTGCAGGTGTGAAGCAAACATCTCTGGGCTCAGGAGGAAACAAACACCATCGATCAGATACGGGAGGCGTATCCCGGACCAAGAGGTCAGAGCTTTGTGTTTTCCTTATTTCAACTCAAAAAGGTGTATTTATTTGTGTGCCTGTAATCTTAAAACCACTCTTCTCCCAATGCAGTGATGACAGGATGCAGTTTTCCAGCTCTCAGCCTGATTTTGCAGCAGAAGGCTGGGAAGCCATGTTGATAATCGACCAAAGCAACAACCAGGTCAGCTTCTCTCAGCCGACCAAACCCGAGCACATGTTGCTGGGGAGCCAGCTGATGGGCACACCGGGAGCCAGTCAGGTAATTCAGTTTAACCCCAATTAGTAATTTATTAATGTGAAGTGTCTCGCATTGTATGTTTTTATCCTGTTCTTCTATACAAAGCAAAGGTATGTTTTATGAAATGCAGCCTTCAAATGCTGCATTGACGAATGAATGCTAACTTGCATTTCCATTCTGTTTGCAGTCCTCTTGGCAGAGATTAGTGCGGAGAATGACACGTTTCTTCACCACTGTGAATGCCGACGTCTCCTTATCTGCCCTGAAAGACGCTTGTGACAGCCTGTCACTTGTCTTCAAACTCACCTGCAGCAAACAGGTACATATGAGTTTAAACTTTACAGAGGTGAAATACAACTGCTGCAGCGCCCAGCCAGTTTACAGCCATAATGCAGTAGAGTTTAATAAACCCCTCTTTGCCTTTCAGGTGACGGTGAGCACGCTGGACAAACGTAATAACAAACTCATCTTCAAAGTCCACTTGTTGGAGATGAATCGGAAAGTGCTGCTGGACTTCAGACTGTCTAAGGTGAGTTTTAGCATTTCAACACTTTTATACAGTGTTCTTAAGATGAACAAAATAGTAGCAGTAGAGATGTACGGAAGTGAAGAACCAACATATTGTTTTGTGAGAAAAGCAAAATGTTTCTTGTGAATTGTTACCAATATCCAATCGTTTATTTTGCTAATTGTGAGTATGAGTTTTATTTAGATGTTGATGTGTGTTTGTGTTTCCAGGGTGACGGTCTGGAGTTCAAGCGTCTCTTTGTGAAAATAAAACAGAAGCTCGGAGACATCATCAGCACTCAGAAGATCTTACCCCCCCTCACATGAACAACCTCTACAGATTCACACGGCTATGGACATATGGAGGGACAACATGTATATATTTAGCTGTTCTATTGATATTTTATTTGTCTGTTGTTCGCTTCAAGTGTGTGTGTGTCTTTTAGCTCCTGTGTTCTTTTCTTCAAGGAGTTCGTTGTTGTTCTTAGTGTTGGAAGATTGTCAAAGGGGGACAGTGAGATAGAAGCATGTTTGTTATGTGTTCTCATTATGTTTGACATGATACAGTCAAAAGTGTTGAATAAGTTATTAAAAAAAACATTGTATGCACATAATAAAAACAAACATTACTAAAAAATAAATCATTTATAAACTATTTGAGATGATTCCAATGTTCCGTGTGCATGGATATATATATATATATATATATATATATATATGCCTCTTTGTATTAAAGAGGACATTCTATTTTTCAGGTGCATATTTGTATTTTGTGCTTCCACTGGGACATGTCTCCATGCTTTAATGTTCAAAAAGCTCTTTATTTGTCTCATGCTTCCTGTGCTGCAGCACCCCTTTTACCCTCTGTCTGAAACCAGAGCCCAGTCTGCTCTGATTGGTCAACAGCTTAGAGATGTCCCATCACGTTGGAGCGCTAGCCAATAGAAAGGCGAGTGTTACATAGTGATGTCAGTGTCACAGGAGAAGCTTCCTCTGGCGTGGCGTGACCTTTTTATAAGCCTTTGAAGTCCATTTACATGCACCAAAACCTATATAACACTTTAAATTGTAACATTAAAAAACATTCCAGTTGGCTGACCAGTTTACATTCATATAGTTTAATTTAAAAATCAATGCATCGTTATGTCCATGCTGAATCCTTGTGTGACATTAGGAGAACTGTTGTAGTTAAGTTGAGATGTTAGTCACAGGCTGTACAGTACATTACAAACTGTCTACAAAAAACTATCCATTCCAGGTTAAATTACAATCAAGTGAGTGATTTCCTGGTAGAATTATGAGCCCGTAGCTTTGACGGTGATGGTGACGCTGACGGGCTCATTGTCGTCTCCAGGGGAGGGGGAAGGGGTTTTGCTGGGGGCGAGGGGTGAAGCTGCACGGGGTAAAGGCATGGTGGGACCTGCAAAACACCAACACAAAGGTTTATCATCAGGATTTAAATACTTTGAAACATGTGCAATCAACAAAGATTTATATTTTATTAGCAAAGATGGCTTTCAATAAAATATGATGGACCTTTGTTTTGGACCTTCCATGTGTCATACCAGCACAGAAAGATAAAGAAACCCAGATAGTACACATAATAACAATAACAGTAAAATAAGAATACACATGTATTAGCAGTATTAATAGAAATAAAAAATAATGTGAGGTAAACTAGGATCTGGTGAATGTTCATATCTACAGATATGTGAACAGAACAGATGTGTTAATTATATATACAATTAATTATTATAGAAATAGGGCTGGGTGATAGGGATTACATCAAATATCTCTCAATATTGTTATGATATTTTGAGGGTTTACTAAGGTGCCTTAAAACAATATTTGTTGAGATATTTGATAATAATCAGCAATGTGGGTATCCTTAAATGGTTAAAGACAAACTAAAACGTAATTAATGAAATACTTACTGTAATGCAGCCTTTAAGACCAGTAAAGACACATTTTATGATATCCAAAGTCTAAGACCATAATAGTTTAATATATTCACAATATTGATATATCAATAACATGTTTGTCTAGGTCACTGGAGGGGTGTGTGTGTGTATGGTCTAGCATTACTATACTTGTGGGGACCTAAATCTGTTTACACAGTCACGTGTGGGGACTCGCCTCCCTTATGGGGACAAATTGGAAGTCCCCATAAGGGGAATCATTAATTTTAGGGTGAAGACTTGGTTAGGTTTAGGATTAGGGTTAGGGAATGCTCCGGTATTGGGACAAAATGAACATGGGATCACTCCGGTCATTGTACGTACTTCGTCTCACTGGAATATTAACGGTCAGATTGAATACAACATCGACCCAATTTATCCGGGCAATGACGGGAGAGTTTTGAAAGTGACAAAACACTGTTTTCACACATTTAAAAACACTTAAACAATTAAACAATGTTTACCCAGGATTCAGGCACCTTCCCTGGCTTGTAAAATGTGGTGATGCGCCCTGGAGGTATCATACTATTTAAAACATGTATACCCAGGATTCAATCACTTTTCCTGGCTTGCAAAGTGCTGTGAAGCAGCCTGTTCTCTGGGTGCAGTCTGGGTGTGCATGGAGGGGTTTAGTCCGAGTGAGGAGTGCTCAAGTGTGGGAGGATGTGTAAGGCAGAGGAGGGTAAAGAAAAAGTTAAAGTGTGAACCTCCAGCAGGGCAGGTGCTGCTGTGAATAAGGCCGAATATGGATGATGGTGTGCGGACAGTAAAGCACCACAAAATCCACCTCCTTTAAGTGTTACCAGGGCCATGAGAACATCCTCCACATGAGGGTGGGTGGTGCTGCTGTGAATAAGGCTGAATATGGATGCTGGTGTGCGGACAGTAAAGCACCACAAAATCCACCTCCTTTAAGTGTTACCAGGGCCATGAGAACATCCTCCACAGGAGGGTGGGTGGTGCTGCTGTGAATAAGGCCGAATATGGATGCTGGTGGGCGGACAGTAAAGCACCGCAAATCCACCACCTTTAAGTGTCACCAGGGGCATGAGGTTCTGGAGGGTGTGAACATCTGTGTTTAGTCCGTGGGGGAGTGCTTAAGTCCGGGGGTCCGGGGTCTCACGGTGTGCGAGGTTATGGAAGTATCCATGATTTTCGAAATTCTCGAAAAAACGGCTAAGTGCCAACGGAGGAGGGGCTACAAAAAGCTCAAGTCTTCGGCGCTTCCGGCGGAAGCCCCGGAGACATTTGCACCCCCCCGTTGCATTTTACAACGGAGAGGGGAATCGAGACCTCCCTTCCTCCGTCGAAAAAATTCATTAATCTTTTCCAAGCTACGGAAACCCGGTTTTTGAGAGCACTTAGAAAAAAACGGGCTATTTTCCATCATGGAGGAATGCATCCGCTACATGAGCATTTTGGATCGGATACAATTGTTGCCTGGAGGACCCCCAATCATGGTTCTTACCAAACTTTAAGTTTTTGAACTGGTCTCTGGATGAATTCAAGGGGAGTTGGCACGGAATAATGAGATACTATTTTCGGATACATTTTATCCATTTTCACCCCTTCCTCTGGTTCTTCCAAAAGTTAACTTAGACTTTTTCTGACTCTGGAGGAATGTAACGGGAGTTGTCAGGGGACTCTATCCGCCTTAAGAGACACTATTTTCGGATCCATTTGATCCATTTTCACCCTTTTCTTTGGTTCATCCAAAATTTAACTTGGACTTTTTCTGACTCTGGAGGAATGTAACGGGAGTTGTCAGGGGACTCTATCCGCCTTAAGAGACACTATTTTCGAATACATTTTATCCATTTTCACCCTTTTCTCTGGTTCATCCAAAAGTTAACTTAGACTTTTTCTGACTCTGGAGGAATGTGATGGGAGTTGTCAGGGGACACTATCCGCCTTAAGAGACACTATTTTCGGATACATTTTTATCCATTTTCACCCCTTTTCTCTGGTTCTCTGATGCCTGGAGACCCCCCCAGCCTGGTTCTTAACTTTAAGTCCAAACTGGTCTCTGGAGGAATGCAAGGGGAGTCGAAAGGGGACTCTTCTTGCTGTTTGTCTTGTCAAAATTGAGGGGTGTGTTTGAGGGGAGGGCCCTGGCTGTTTCAGCAGCCTCCGCTCCTCTCTTCTCTCCCTCCCCGAGACCAGCTTGTGCTCCCGCTGTAAAAGGCAGGTGCGCGGGCACCCACTGCCACTCACTCTGAGCCTGGCTCCAGAGCAGCGCGTTGTCCCCGGCAGTCCGCCAGCAGATGAAAAACACCCACCTCTCCGCCTCTTCCGAGGGACGAGGGAACCGTGCGGGGGGGTCTGCTGGAGGCTCCTGCCGGGTGCTCCGTCCTGCGTTTCACCGGGACCCGGCTCCAACACTCGGAACTCTGACTCCAGCGCGGTGTGGCGGCCTCGCCCTGGCCGTCCACCGTGCGCCCTCCGGGTACCTGACTCCCCTGCCTCCTCCGGGGGCAGGTGTGAGGGGTTCAATGCCTCCTCCCCCCGCTGCGGTGAATGCCGGAGCGGGATGGAGCGCCCGGAGGTACTGTTGTCCCCACGTTACCATGTTGTGGAGGATAGGACCGAGAGATGACATACTCTCTACCCGGGTTACAAGTCACTATTTTCGGACCCTTTCTTTGCTTTACCCCGGTTCTATCACTCTTTCCTCCTTTGACCATAAAACATGTTTCCTGCTGGAGTACTGCCTGGTTCCGGGGCACCCCAAACCCTCTCATGGTCGGGGCACCATGAATTGATGCATCGGACCCAATGTTGCCATCACCAGCCCCGCGTTGGTGCGGAGGTGGGACCATTTAGCCAAGTGGTAACCCAAGTCCTCCCTTGGTCCGTGTACCAGGCATTGAAGCATCAAACCCATTGTTGCAATCACCGGTAACGCTAACGCATATAAACGGAGAAACACAAAAGACTTTGAAATAATTGAAATACAATTCTCTGTTTCAGTAAGGCTGTCGTCCGAATGTCCGGTGTGCAGACTCTTCTATCTGGCTTTGAACAAGCACCTTAAGCACAAACATGCAGTGCGTAACTTGGAGGAAAGAGGCATCATTCTTAAAATGGCTAGTGGCAGAATAAATGTTCGGACCAAACCCTGTCCCATCACAGGGTGTTCGTATGCTGGGAATAAACTGGACCGTCATGTGACTCATGGCCACTCATAACTCATAAGTTATCCCGAGATGAAGCACATCAGGTCCTGGCAAGGCTGAAGCATAGTGTGGCCCTGCAATTGCTCCATGACCTCAGACAGACTAATCCCATCATTGGAATGGCTACATCATTGGATATAGACAATGAGGAGGAATACCCGGTGCACCCTCCACCCTTCTCCCCACATACTGAGTGTGACGAAGAGGACTGCAGGCAGGTGATGCTGGAAAATGTGGCATTGAGGGCTCAGAAGGATGCCCTCATTGATGAGGTGAAGACCCTGCGCTCCAGGCTGAAAAAGGGGCTAAAACCCAGGCAGCAGTGTGCCACTGCTGCTGTGCTTGAGGAAGAGGAATAATGTATACGATGTAAGGGCCTGGCAATCTCAAGTACCTCCGGCATAAACACAGCAGCCTCCGGTAGTCAGACCACTCTCAAGACCCCGGTCAAGACTGTCATGCGGTCTCCAGCAGCCTCTGGTAGTCAGACCCCTCTCAGGACCCCGGTCAAGACTGTCATG